AAAATCCCACGATCCACATTTTCGTGTGAAACCAAAAATTCACATACTCAACACAAGCCCTTGAACTTTCTGTGTATCAATCTTCATGTGATTGTTTGAACACATTGAAATAAGCGAATAGTTAACACGATGAATGGCAGTTGAACCTATGAACACGGAGTCTAGCGATCGGAGACGTCGCTAAACTCAACAAGTTCTCACTGCCATATCGTCACAATTTTAGTAAATCTGCACTTTTACATCAAACTATTGTCTCTCAAGTTTTATACTTCTATCAAACTACTTCGCTTCAAATACATAACAGCTCTGTCTACAGATATTTTCTGACTGGTTATTACAGCCCAAATCGGATAACTACCACACGCTTCCCAACAAGAATACAACACAAACAAATCAGGGATCTCAACCTACAAGAGTCCTCCACCGGGTGGCACATCGCCTTTTTCCCACATCGAGCACATAGCTTTCCAAACGTCAACGTAACAGCAGAACCATCCGACACATTGAGCACATAGCTTCTTCCCAACATCGAGCGCATAGCTTTCCAAACGTCAACGTAACAGCAGAACCATCCGACACATCAAGCGCATAGCTTCTTCCCAACATCGAGCGCATAGCTTTCCAAACGTCAACGTAACAGCAGAACCATCCGACACATCGAGCGCATAGCTTCTTCCCAACATCGAGCGCATAGCTTTCCCACATTAACGACACAGCAGAAACAAAGGGAGCGATTGCACCCGAACCAACATTTCCTCGCCGTCACCGAGCGACGACACAACAGGGCACACCGAACCACTTGATCTACTTCACGTCTTCAACAGTGCCATCAACGAATCAGCAGAAACAGAGGGAGCGACCGCACGCGAACCAACCGAACCAGAACAGTCTCCTTTTCTTACTTTACGGCCCCAATCGTTCCTTACGATCCAACCAACCATGGCTCAAGGAGCAAATCCAACAACTTCACCAACTTCACCAACTTCACCAGTTGGACCCACACCACCATCTGGGGCGACAGCACCAACAAGTGGCGTGCTCTTCAGCCCAACAACTCCAACTCTTGGGAACAAGGTCCGCACCAGCTCCAGCACCGAAACCGCTTGGACTGGAGGGAAACCCAATCCGACCCGTACTGGCCTTGATCCTTCAGCTTCCACTACCATGGAACATCCGGGACAGTTGCGTCCCACAGGCTATGAAGCAATGAAAAGCGCCACCTACCGCAGAACGTCTGACCTCGTTTCGATCACCAAGAAGACGAAGATGACTAGATTCAAGAAGGAACTTTGGCAAACTGCAGTCTCCCGAGGACTGGACTCCGTCATGTACCTTCCTCGCAGCGGCGACCAGATCTCCGTTGTGACAAGCTCCGATATGTTCACGAAAGAGGAAGCTGAGCTTGAATACACCAAGATTCTCCCGACGTATGACAGCTACTGCAGATCCAATGACAGGGACGCTGCACACTTACTCATGAACGCCATTGATCCAGATCTTCGAAAGGAAGTTGAACTATTCCACAACACCACTGATGGGTTTATTGTTGTATGGTACGTTCTCCTTCGTCTCCTCTATGACAACAACATCGACCGCAAACGCAACATTGAATCCGAGCTTCGGAAGGTTGCCGTCACAAGCTACCCACAACAGAATGTCAACGCCATTGTTGCCACCTTCCTCAACATGGCAGAAGAACTTGACGATATGGATGACTACAATCACGACAACACCATCAAGATGCTCGACACTCTTTCCTATGCCGGTGGTGGAACCGATCCAAGCAATCCCGACACCCTCTACTTCCGCAGCCAAATTATGACTCTTTGCAGCCGTGTGGACGATGCTCTCATCGCTATCCGAGGACTATCAGCGGCTAGCGCTACCACTTACATGGTGGCACATGATGTTCACTACCGTCAAGTCCTCATGAAAGTCCAAAAGTCTTACCTTCAGCTCTTCAACAACCACAAGTGGCCCCCAGCAAACACCCCTCTCGACTCTCGTACTCCGTCCGCCCTGCAAGCCAACAACGTACTGACCCAGAAGCACCTGAAGGAACAGTTTCGTGCCTTTCTGCTCCAACAAGCACAAGGAAACAACACCAACACTAACACCAACACCAACACCAATAACAACACCAATAACAACAACAACAATCGCAATGGTGACCGCACCGGCAACGCACCTCCCAATCCCAAGCGGGTCCAACCCTCAATTGCCAACGGCGACGTTCCTATTGCAACCGTGGACGGGGTTCCACACTTCAGGAAGAACATCAACGGCAAGGACATGGATTGGTGCCAGACTTGCAAACGTTTCACCAACACCCACGCTACTCATCAACATGGCTCCGGTACCAACAACAACAACAGCAACAACAACAACAACAACAACAACAACAACAACAACAACAACAACAACAACAACAACAACACCAGCACCACGGCCACCGCCGCCAACCTTGCCTCTACCGATCTGCCACCGGATATTGATTTTGGCACCTTTAACATCGCCGACTACAACTTCTACGTATCCTCTGGTATCACCTCCCAGGATGTGCTTGGCGTGATCGCTCCTCCTGCTCTTGTCGAAACTGTCTCTGACGATGTTCACGACGACACCATCCCTGTCATCGACCGCGATGCTGTCACCGCTCATCACTGGTGTGTTCCTGTTGACTCCTTTCCCCACTCTCACTCCACTACCACATCTGCACTCGACTCTCCTACTGTTGAGACCGTCACTGACGACAATGACGATGCAGCCATCATCCCTACCATCGACCGCGACGACGTCACCATTCAACACTGGTGTGTCCCAGTTGATTCCTTCATTAACTCTGACTCCGCTGCCATGCATGGGCCTGCCGTCGACTACGACTCTGACAATGATGACGTGCCTCCTTCCCTCGTGGACCGCACTTCCGATCACGAGTCTGACGACGACTCTGTTCTTGATGATTCCTCTTCGGTCCTTCCCCAGGAAACTACGATTCCCACCTATCGCCTTCATCCGACTGCATCTCGCCCAGCATCGCTTTGGCGTCCACTTGCCCTACTCCTGCCACCTCTCTTCCTTGGGCTTCGATTCCTCCTTCCGTTTCTTGCTACCCACACCAACCGTGGTTTGTCGCAAGCCTCCATGATGGTCCAAGACTTCCCCATTCTTTCCTTTCTGGCTACCCAGGCCAACCGAGGTTTTCTTCACCTGTGGTCTATTGTCTCCCACCATCCCACTACCATCGCATTTCGCGCCTTTGGCTCTGCCTTCCCTTCCATCTTCGCTGAGCACCGATGTTCCTGGTCTGCTCTACCCTTTTGGCTCTGGCTGGTCCTTGCAGTTTTCATCCTCATCGGACCCCAACGCCTCTGTACCCCTGCCCCTCCCCCTCCCCGCCACGTTCGACGCCATCTTGCCCGCCTGCACCATCGGCAGCGGCGTCCCAAACCCACTATGCAGTTCCCTTCCTTCCGTCATCCACGCTACCAACCTTCGCGCGCCCAGCTTCTTTCCCGATGCCAATGGCGGCGGGTATCCACCGGCCTCAGCGGCTCCAAGGCTTCAGCGATTCCCACCGACCTCAGCCACCTTTATGTCAACTTCCACCGTTGTAAAGCACGCCACCGCTGTCAATACAAATCGCAACGTCGTCGCCGTTGGATGTCGCCCTACACTCGGAGACTCCGATCCCTTCAGCTACACCAGCTTGCCTCTTCAATGCGGCTCACACAGCTCCGCACCGGTTTCAAGGCTCAGGCTCAGTATCAACAACATTGCAAACAGCGAGGACTCCTGGTTATCGATCAAATTCACCAGTGGAACTGGCAAACTCAACACAGTCAGCATATGTCGGAACAGCTGTTACAAGGCGACCTCTCTCCCATTCTCCCGGATCTGATCTCGTCCCCTTCCCCGGTTGCCTCTTTCCCCAGCTGGGATGATGACTCCGTCTCCACCAGCTGCTTCAGTGAGATCGATGCGCCCGATTATGACCCCCCTGATCCCACACCTTCTGTCCTCATCAATCCACATGGAACCGTGTCCATCTACACCGCCACCACGACTATTGCTACCTCCATCGCCGAGTTCGCTGAGGATCACCTATTCCTCTCCGAGACATCTGCCGACATGGAACCAGCGTTTCCGGTCATCTGGGATTCTGGAGCCTCGGTGTGTGTCACACCCCACAAGCGTGACTTTGTCGGCAAGCTTCACCCCCCTCCCAACTCCAGCACCAAAGGGATCGGAGGCCCCATTGAGGTCACCGGATGCGGACATGTCGCATGGACGTTCAAGACCACCACCAACACCTTCCGTACCTTGGTTCTGCCAGCCGTTCTAGTTCCCTTGGCCAACCAACGTCTTTTGAGCACCAGCTCCCTCCTTCATTGTCACTCCAAGGAAACCATCTCCCTTTCCTCTGACGGCATGCTACTCTCTGGAACCACTAGCGACGGTGCCTCTACACGACCCATTGCAGTGGACATCTCTCCCACCAACAACTTACCTACCGCTACGGCATACCGCGTCATTGATTCTCCGCAACCACCTCCCGAGGCCCACGCTGACGATGTCACTGTAGCAATCGACAACCTCCACAGTTCCCAAGGCCCAGCTCCGACATCATCTCGCACTGATCGAAACTCTTTCATGATGTCCAGCATTGCCGAAGTCAGTCGCCATAACATCAACCTTGACGACGGTGACAAGGAATGGTTGAAATGGCATCAACGTCTTGGCCACCGTTCATTCGCCATTGTACGCTTCTTGATGCGCACCGGAACCCTTGCTAAAAGTCAACGCATGCGGACGCTGCACACCCACATTTCCAAACGAGTTGAACCACCCAAGTGTGCCGCATGTTGCTACGCCAAAGCTAAACGACGTGCCGTTGCCAAGGCCAAAACTCATGCTCGCGTCAAGGATGCTCCCAGCTCTCTTCGCGCCAACACTCTTTATCCCGGTCAAGAGGTATCCGTCGATCATCTTGTTTCATCTGTTCCTGGCCGAACCTACACTGGCTACGGGAAAGGTCACAAGTCTGAGATGTTCCGCGGATCTGCTATCTTCGTCGACAATGCGACAGGATATATCTTCGTTCAACATCAGAAATCCCTGAACACCCACGAAACATTACGGGCCAAGGAAATGTATGAGGCGAATTGTCGTGACCTTGGTGTCGTTCCTCAAAAATACCGCAGTGACAACGCTGCTGTCTTCCACAGCCACGAATACAAGCAACATCTTGAAGCCTTCAGTCAAACTCAAAAGTTCGCTGGTGTTGGCCAACACCATGCCAATGGCATCGTCGAAAAGGCCATTCAGGACATTCAATCTACTGCCCGCACATTGCTCATTCACCTTGCCATCCGTTGGCCCGAACAAGCCGATCTCGCTCTCTGGCCAATGGCCATCGACCATGCAGTCTTCCTCCACAACCACCTCCCCGACGTCGACACTGGTCTCACACCCATGGACAAATTCTCCCGCCAACGTTGGCCCCACTCCAAATATCACGATATCCATGTGTTTGGATGCCCCACCTACGTTCTCGACAAGAAAATCGCGGATGGTAAGACTCTTCCCAAGTTCTCGCCACGCTCCGAACGCTACGTTCACCTTGGGTTCAGTCCTTTTCACGCAAGCACAGTGCCGCTGGTCCTCAACCCTCGCACCGGTGCCATCACACCCCAATTCAATTGCATCTTTGATGACTGGTTTGCCACATTATCCGCCAACGTCGACGATGTCCCCACCTTCATGGAGGAACAGTGGCAGCATCTCTTTGGCGACTCCCAATTTCAATTTCCCACCGATGATAATGATCCTCCTTCCTTGACACCTCCATCTCAAGTCCCCCTATCTTATGAGCCTTCCGCTCTTGATTCCTTTGAACCTTCCACCAGCCGCTACGCCGGCACCCAACCTACCCTATCTGATCCCTCCGTTTTCCGTGAACCCTCCCAACCTTCGTTTGAGAGGGAGAGTGTGTCAGTTGAGAGGGAGCAGTCTCCTCCCGCCAATATTCCTACATCCACAAATACTGGCAATCCTACTCCATCACCCCTTCAGAGGGAGCAACAAACTCAGTCAAAGAGTCCCCATATAACGGCACGCGAAACTCCCATTGACCTACCATCATCATCAATTCCGCCAACATCATCATCCGGACCACCATTGCGACGCAGTACACGATCCACCAGAGGTAAACCGGCTCCCATTCTCGATCCCAACCCCCATTCTAAGACCTACGTCTCCAAACCTTTGCCATCCTCCAACTTGGCCGAGATCAATCCATCAAACGATCCCGACTTCAATGACACCGAAAACCTCCATTCGTTCCCAAAGGACACTCCATTTCTTGCCAACGAGGATCTGGTATTGACCACCAGCCATCCTTCATACAGACGATTCAAGACTCAACCAGAGTCAGATGATGGTGGTATTTGTGGATTCTATGACCTCCATTTCTCCTACCTTGGCTACACCACCACAAACACTCCCAAATTTGTGTTTCTTGACAGCAAGGCACCACCTGATTCGATCGAATTTCTCAAAACTGGCACCACCGACCCTGATATTTTAAGCTGGGATGAAGCTATGGCTGGTCCTGATCGAGACAAGTGGCGTGAGGCTGCCTTGAAGGAGATCAGAGCACTCGAACACAAGCGCACATGGTTGGAAGCCCCAGAATCCAATGCCACAGTCAGAGTAATTCCTGGCACTTGGGTTTTTCGAGTCAAACGCGCGCCAGATGGATCCATCATCAAATTCAAGGCCAGATGGGTATTACGAGGTGATCTTCAGGACCTGGACATGGACACCACCGCTGAAGTCGTCGCTTGGTCCTCGGTCCGCACATTTATGGTCCTTAGTCTCAAGCTTGGATGGGTCATGAAGTCGATCGATTTCACCAATGCCTTTCTCCATGCCAAACTACCAGACAATCTGGAAATGTTTGCTCACCTACCAAGAGGCTTCTACTCTAATATGAGAAGTATCACTGGTGAACGAACAGTACTACACCTCAAGAAGTCTGCATATGGGACAACCATTGCGCCAAGGCTATGGTACAAACATTTAATGAAGGCATTTCACGAGCTTGGATTTGAAAGCTCCTCCTACGATAAATGCTTCCTTATTCGCAAAGACATGATGATTGTCGTTTATGTCGACGACTGCGGTATCAGCACTGACAAACCAGAGAAAATCGATGAACTTGTCAACCAGCTGAAAGAAAAGGGATTTGATTTGGAGATTGAAGGCGACTTTGAAACGTTTCTTGGAGTCGAAATTCGCCAGATGAAGGATGGTAGATACCACCTCCTTCAAGAAGGGCTCATCAAGAAGGTGCTCGAAGCCGCCAAGATGACCGACTGCAGTCCCAATCACGTTCCGGCTGCACCAACCCCACTAGGAAAGGACCCTAACGGAGAACCTTGGTCCCAACATCCCTGGCGCTACAGCTCAATCGTTGGGATGCTAATCTACCTCTGCACAAATACTCGCCCAGACATCAGCTATGCAGTCTCCTGTGCGGCCCGCTTCAACAGCAATCCAAAAGTCAGCCATGCCACCGCCGTCAAGACAATCCTTCGTTACCTCAAGAAGACATCCGACAAAGGGTTGATTGTGAACTTTAATGGGACTCTTGACCTTGAAGCATACTGTGATGCAGATTTTGCAGGACTGTTCAAATCTGAGGCTCCATATGATCCAGCAGTGTCTCGGTCTCGTGGCGGATATATCATTTTCCTTGGAGGAGTTCCTCTCATTTGGAAAAGCTCGCTCTTATCGTGCATTACTCTCAGCACTCTCGAGGCTGAATATGTTCAACTTTCTCGCTCCATGACGGTTCTTCTGGGGCTCAAGAATCTAATCGAAGAACTTCTTCCACGGCTCCAACTTCCAAACTTGACCGCTTTTGTTCGCTCCATCATCTTCGAAGACAATGCTGGTGCACTACTTCTCGCTATCGGTCAACGAATCACCAATCGCACCCGCTATTTGAGCCAGTTCTATCATCATTTCTGGTCCTTTGTCCATCGCCCTCAAGATGGCCCTCCTCAAAACAACCCCAATGGTCCTTGGCATGACGGAAAAATCAAAGTATCCAAGATTACCACTGACAAGCAGCGAGCAGACATCTTCACTAAAGGTCTGACTCGAGTTCCCTTCGAACGCAACCGATTCTCCATCAACGGATGGTAATCATTCTCTCTTTGAGAGGGAGAGTCGGAATATATATTCCGATGCGACACGTGTGATACTCCACAACACGTGTCATATACAAACGAAAATCCCACGATCCACATTTTCGTGTGAAACCAAAAATTCACATACTCAACACAAGCCCTTGAACTTTCTGTGTATCAATCTTCATGTGATTGTTTGAACACATTGAAATAAGCGAATAGTTAACACGATGAATGGCAGTTGAACCTATGAACACGGAGTCTAGCGATCGGAGACGTCGCTAAACTCAACAAGTTCTCACTGCCATATCGTCACAATTTTAGTAAATCTGCACTTTTACATCAAACTATTGTCTCTCAAGTTTTATACTTCTATCAAACTACTTCGCTTCAAATACATAACAGCTCTGTCTACAGATATTTTCTGACTCTTGTCTAAGATGGTGTTGAAGGTTTGGGATTGGCGATCCACACACAGAAGGAAAAGGGAATCTTGCATTTTTTTCGACTGCTGAATTTTTTCAGCAGTTGTCAGCAGTTGGCTGAATTCCCTGCAGTTGGCCTAAATTCCAAGATTCCGTTGTTGCAGATTCTATTGGGTCACTGGGGTGCGCACGCATGTCACTTTTTTAACGGTGAAATTGTGGAGACAAAAGGTACAGTTTTAGCTGCTACGTACGACATACAGGCGGGTTTCAGCAGAACCTCCCTCTGTTGTTGGACGTCCTTCTTCGTCCGTCCCCCAAACAAATCCACTTTTGAGCCATCCTATAATCGAAGATTACCCGGCGCCGCCTCCACTCCTGGGCTTGAATCGCATGATGTAGTCTTTGTCTGCAGAGATTGCGCACGTATGCTACCATGGAAACTGTGGCAAAAGCCTGATGCTACATACGAGAAGCGAGTAGGTTTGGCACAGTAGCGAGGTACTAAGTTAGTGACTGGTTTGCACCAAGGTCAAATCATAGGATTCGAAAAGGACAATCAATAGGATTGACAGACAAACCCGGCCCAAATGGGGTACCGAGCTATGGTGCAAATGAGAGAGAGGGTGGTGAGGGCGGGAAAAAGCAAAAAAGCTGACGGTCTTGACCAAGCAGCTAAGCTCCTTCTATCGTCTCCATCATCCCACAAGCTCCCATTGCGAACAATGTTGACACTCTTCGCTCCGTCCGCCAACCGTGTACTTCGACGCGCCGCAATCGACACGACGGAGATTGAGACTAAGGAAGAGCTAGAAACGCCCATACGTCTCCCGTCTTGCCGATCCATCTCCGCTAGACAACCTCCACGACATCTGTGAGGACATTACCAGCAAGCCTGCCATTTCAGGCTCCTGTACAGCTGCAGATATAGTACCGGTACTGTACCGGTAGTGCTGTGTGATCTTCCATCGCACAGTGTTGATTGATATATCTGCTGATCAATCAATTTTTAAAAAGCGCGACACTCACATTCGAGTTACAGTATTTCAAATCTATTTGTGATTCATTTTCAATTTGTAGTGGATGATTTCTTGCAATTGACAGTTTTTAGATAGATAGAAGAAAGCATCAATATGATTTTTTTCCCAGAAGGATACGAGCCAACAAACAAGGATATCTTGTGCGGCCGCGGCAAAGGGAATTTACGTCACGAAGGGAATCAGCACTTTATGGAGATTATCCGGGCCAATCTGAAGCGTTATACTAACGCTCCAAAGCGCATTGATAAGAGTCTGGTTGTTTCGCTCATCGTTTCTTCGCTCAAAGATGATGGCTACAAATTTGTCCGCCAAGACACCAAATCTCGCATGTGGTTTCAGCTTAGCGAGCCACAGGTGCATGAAAAAGCTGGTCATGCTATCCGGGACATTCTTAAGAAAGGAGGCAATGCAGTACAACAACAATCACAATCAAAACAAGCCATCAATACGAACAGCAACTTCGATTCTGCACAAACGAACGAGCCAGATATTGTGGCTTCTCAGATTCTCAGCACGGCTCTGAAAGTTTCAAAATTGGTGGAAAAGAGCAAACTTGACTTTACTGCATTGTCATCTGGCCAAACAATGGCGCCAGATTATGTGGCTTCCAGTGATCCACAGAGAAGGAACAGTCGTGAGTATCGAAGGTCGTCCATTGTTCGCCTCTTTGACGAACTGTCCCCAGAGGAACCGGCAGATGCTCTCTCTTCTGGTGGTTTTATGAACGACCAGCCTCTCCCAATCGATGCTCGCAACAGCGGTGCCTTGCGCACGTCCGATATGATGCAAGTATTCGAGTCGCTTGCGAACTCAACCTCCGATGCGCCACACCAGCAACAGCAGAAGCAAGTTGAAGAAGAGGAAGAAAGCATTATTACACCTCGTTCGAAGCGGATGGGATCTAGTAGTCGTGAGTTTAGGAGATCAGAACTCCTTCAATTCCTCGATTTTAATGAAGATGAACTCATGGAACCCGAGGAACAAGCACAAGACACGCCTTCAACGGATCAACCATTGTCAATGGATACACGCACCAGCGACACATTGAATTCGCTATTTAAAGACCAAGAGGACATTTTTAGCAACTTGCAGAATGTGTTTGGCTCGCTTCCAGACGCCGAGAATGCTGACCAAAGCCCGCAAGAAATGGAAGAGCGCAACAGCCGTGCTTCCCAGGTCTTATCAGAACTGCTCAAGCGTCAAGAAGGAATCTTTGAGGAATTCCAGAATTTTGAAGCAGAATTCGATGTCCAGTAAATCAACGTCGAATTTGGTAGTCCTAAGTTATGGTGGTTCATGGGACCAGAGAACGTGCAGACGTATTGTTCCTGGAGGGGGTTTTACATCTATTTTCCAATATATAATAATTGCACTTGCGGATTTGTCAACCCAATTACGTACTCATGTCATTGCAATCTCTTCCAAGAGGTTTGGGTTTCCAGCCAAGTCCTTACTATCCTCTTCACTTGACTGAGAATGGACATCTCCCGACATGTCAACTCTGAGAGGTCCATCTCCCGACATGCCGACGCTGAGAGGTCCTTCTGCAGCAAGAGGGACATCTTCACTTTCGTCAATACTAAAACTACTGCTGCTGACACTTTCATTCGCTCCATTCCGAATCTTTCTCGCGCTTTCTGGAACAACCAAAGGATCGGTCGAGACTCGTGCACCAGATTCTGAATAGCGTGGATGGAATGAATTCTCACGCATCATGCTGCTTCTTCCTTTTTGTTGTTGGTCCAAATTCTGCGATATTTTGTGAATCAATTTGGCTTGCTCTGCTAGTTGGCTTTTCAAATCTGCAATCTCAGCATTGTGCTTCGAACCCCTACTTTGGGTTGTACCATGGGCACCCCCAGCCCGTCGTTTGTGTCGACGCAATATTCTATCTCCATCCCAAAATTGATCTGGATGCCATCCTGAGTACATGGTTATCAGTGTTTCGTTGTAGTGGGCTTGCAGAGTTACAAGCGGTAACTCATTCGGTACATTTCGAAAGGGGTTCTCCAATTCTCGCGCTACTTCATGGATCGCACTCAAACACATCACGGTCAGAAAGGTTAAAGTTGATGCCAGCCAAACTTCATCCACATATTGTTCCATCAAAAAGGGAATACATGGTACCAATACCAGTATGAACATGACACTAAGTTGTGCATGAGGAAAAGGAAATGGTATAAACATGATCTTGCGTGCATGATTGTAGTAGATCATGCCATCTCCAAGAAATTGGATGCACCGAGAAATGATTGGCGGTCCCACAGCACCCATAGACCCAGCCAGGTGCTCTCGGATCATAAACTCGGACAACCAATTCCAGCAGAGTTGCGTCTTTGCATATGGGCCTCGTGCCATTTGCAAGAATCGTATTTCAGCGTCACTCACGCCGCCAATGACAGGAAGCGGCCTTGAAGCGTTATACCGAGTTTGCTCTTTTGGACTACGACCCATACCAAGGAAGGTAAATAAAGCCTTTAGTCTGTGCCCCTTTCCAGGGTGCTTCAAGATTTCATCACGGTCTGGGTCAACTTCTGGCCATGGTTGTCCAGGCTGAAAGTATGAAAGAGGCGATTCGAAGCCTTCCATGTCGTTTCTGAGAGTGCTAAGGGAGACTGCGACGAGTAAGCTTGATAAATGCGCCAACTCTTGAAGAAAAAGAGGCGGGGTCCTGCCCCCGTCAATGCTGGCAAAGCCTTTAAGATTATTGTCTTCTGCGACAAAGACTTGTCGATTCTCACGGTACAAATGGGACCAATTTCCATCTAGCCGCGGTCTGCCAACTAGAGGAGTCGGTTTGTCACCATACTCTCGCTCGGAGTCGTCGAGGAATTCTTCAAAAAATTTGCCGTCAGTATTGCTGCTCATGGATTCGTTGAACAGTTCTGCTGCTTCACCAATGTCTCCCAAAAGTGGCGATCGCGACCGGATAGATGATCGCGAATCCGCCGGTACGCTGAGGGAATTGATGCTCTTCACTTTTGCTCTTTCCAGCTGTTCCCTTTGCTTGTCTTTTTGTATTTTTCGTTCTATCTTCTTAGCTTCGAAATTTGCCGAGAAGGGAGACGAGAGCCTTCGAGCCATGCGCCTTCCATCTGGTAGTCTGCCCGGGCTCGGATCTCTCCTTCCGTTTCCTTGCCCATCTCTGAAATCTTGGGGATAGCTCCTTGATCTCGCACTTCCAGGCAGATCGTCGTCCAAAGGATGCTCTGTTTCTTCTTCTACCTGGTCGTAGTAGTCTGCACCCCGTTCACGATCTCGTGTCAAAAAGAGGTGATTCAATTCTGGATAATCAAAATAGCTCGGTGGTTTAATATCCTTGTAATGATCGCATTGTAAATGATACACACACGAGTGAATAGTTGCATCCATCCATTTGCCCATCATCTGGTGTATGCATGATGCGCCTTCCCAGTATCGAGCATATCCCTGACTCGCACGAAAAACAATAAGGAAAGTAATGGAAGAAACAAGAACACCAATGGCGTATGGATGACCCAAATCCTGTTGCTCTTGATACGACAATCCAGCTTGGGATCGAAAGTGCACCAAAAAGTAGAGACCCACGCTAAACAAACTTGGCAAAATACTCCTGTACACTGCACTTCCATGGACTCGAAAAATCAAATTCAGCCCAAACGCTGAACGGTTGTATGTGATCATGTTTCAAGTTGTAGGAAATGCTTCATTGACGGATTGAGCTTCTAATTTCTGCGCTCACTATTGTCACCTGGAACTTCCGAGGCTTCTTGCTGTAGTTTGTGTATCGATGAAAGGGTGGAGCTGCGATTTCAGATTGCTCTGTTCCAAATTGGGCCTAAACGAGTTCCATTGGTGTTTATGGCCTAACAATTGTTACTAGCTGTTGGCCCCAATCCCCCACTTAACGTGCTATCGTTGTGCTCCTGACTCTCATCGTAGAGAGAGCGTACTAGTGCATTGATGTAGCTACTGTTGGACATGATAGACAGTGATTGATATTGCTGTTGGGGTGTATTTACGGGGGTCTGAAGCAGCTGTGAGTAGATGATAGATGATTGATCTTGGGCTGAATATTCGGCGATGACCTTTGGCCTTCGATCGCTCTAATACATCTGCTCGGGACAGTCCAGTCAGTCACGTTACGTCCCCTCTTCTTCTATTTAGGCGACTCTGTTGTAACGTCTCATCTTGGTCTGTTTTCACCTCCATCTTCTTGATAATGGCTGCTGGCACCGAACAAGGTAGCCGAAGAAAAATTGCCATCTAACCTTCAATTGCAAATCGGGCTGCAGGATTCTCTCTGACGTCCAGGTTGCTGGCGAGCGGCTTCAAGTGTCTGACAGTTGCGTTCAGGTCCAAAGTTTGACTAGGTGCTTCGCGGTACGACGGTCAGAACGGGAGGATCAGTCCTCATCTTAGTCGTTGTACACACGTATTTTGGGGGGGGGGGGGTAAGGGGGTTGCTATATCTGGTCCTTCGTCTTTGGAGCTGTGTGTTCCTGCTACTCTGCCAGTCATGACTTGTACTGTATGCTGCGACATGCAGTAGTTTGTCGATGGCGGCTTTTTATTGGGTCAACTTGTGCTATGGTCTGCTGCGACAGACCGCTGTAACTTGTGGGTCTGCAAGACGGGGTAATTTTCCGAAATATGGGTTACACACGGACAGACGGGGTCCCAGTGCCATCGGGATCTCCTGTCGATTCCCGCTTGACCTGCTTGTTCAGCCGTTAAATTCTAGCCATACAATTTGCCAAAATAGACCTCGCCTTCAAACACCTGCCAGAATATCCGGCACTGGCCAACGGATGAATGATCGCCAGTCAAGTAGACGGCTGAAACCGTTGTTGCCACATTAGCTTCCGGTGCAGAAATAGGATTTCCATTTCCGCACGGTGCAGAAATAGGATTTCCATTTCCGCACAGTGCAGAAACCAGCTTCCGAGTGAGAGCCAGCTTTTGATACAGAAACGTCTACCCCCAAGTCTCCCCCAAACATAACCTGTCTCTTCTTGTGCTTCAAGAAAGATCATAATGAGAATTGACTATGTATAGTTTACTATAGTGTCGATAGATTGCTATCGAAACAGGAGCTAGTATCTAGCCACCGGAGGGATACAAGAACTATGGGCGCTGAGGCACCCAAAGCTAGTTGTATTCATATATCTCTCCTGACATTTTCTTTTGGCATTCTCCACTCCCTACCGGTATC